GTTCTAGAAGACAAGTTGTGTACGGAATAGTCAAAAATTAGGTTATTGGTCTCTCTAGAAAGTGAAGGAGCCCTGTGATACGCCGCGTCTTGGAATGGCGTCTGCTGGGCCAGGCCGTGGTTGCAGCATCCGATGCATCATGCTGACCGTTTCTGTCCTCTTGCTTGGTGTGGTGGCTCGCTGTTTGAAGCAGTGCGTGCAGCGCTGGCCTCTGTGTCCGGCCGGCACCTGCTGAAGTGTCCCTGCGGTCGGGAGGGCTCCGGGGCCTGGGCTCACTCAGTGACCTTGGCGTCAGTCGGGGGTCTCTTCCAGCCTTTCTCTTCCTCTGTAAGCTGAGGCGCTGGCATGTGCCTCCTAGGATGACGGTGCAAACTAGGAGAACAGCTGCAGGCTCCCAGCTCCGTGCCTGGCTCAGAGCAGCGAGCCCCTGCGCTCAGCCTAGGTCTCTCCCACCCGCCTGACACCTGTCTGTGCCAGGAGCGCCTGTCACAGCCGCGGGTCCACGGTGCATGGACGTCAGGCCTGCTCCTGGAGCCACAGGTCACTGGCAGTGACCCCTGTGGACACGCCTTCATGTGCTTGGTCAGACTCGGTGCCCAGGCCTGGAACTGGATGCTGGCTGTGCACCCTGACTCCCCGGCCGCCTGCATGACCGGGTGCTCCCCGCCATTGGTGAGCGTTTTCAGCAGAACGTCGGAGCTCTTAAAAAAGTCACTTCTTGGTTCTGTGAAACCAGACTGGCCTTCGTTTCTCTGATTTTTGCTGAGTTAGGATGTCGTCTGTTAGTTGATGTCCATTCCTGTGACACTATTAGTGTCCTTTATCGTTTTTTCTCCTGTTGGAAGCTCACATCCTCTCTCAGTAGTTTGTGAGGACTGTAAGTCATGAAGGGTTTGTTTATGTAGTAGCATCTATCGTGGTTTTTGTAAAGATTCTGTCCCCCCATCAGGATTCAGATGCCCTTCTTGTGACCGAGTCATAAAGCCTGGGAACTGGCACGTGCTTCCTGGGGTCTGTTGGCACTCTTGTGCCTTGGATCCACTCACGGGGCAAGCTGGCACCCTGTGGCTCCTCGCCTCCCACTTAGCTTTCACCCAATGCCCAGCCATGCCCCTTGACCAGCTCTCTCCCGCGCTGGGTCACCATTCTCTCATTTTGGGGGTGATTCCTCCCCTAGTCGGGGGTGTCCTCGAAGGCCTGCGCTGACCAGTCCTCCGGAACCCGTTGGCTTTACGGCCCTGTGAGCCCCGTGTGCTTCCCCGACTCTGGGCTAGCCTGGCCCCACCCTGCTCGGCAGCCTGGCGGTACCTACCACCGAGTGCTGGGCAGCGTCGCGCTTCAGCACTTCGGGGCCCTGCGCGTGCTGTCTGACGGCTGCAGGCTCTGCCGGGGCGGGGGGGGGCGTCCCTGGGTTTCTCAGCCTCCATGTTGTCATCAGTTCCTGCTCTCCTGGCCGGGCCCACAGCCAGGTTCCACTCTTCCTCGTGTTTTCAGTCAAGCCATGTCTCTGTTTGGCAGCCTGCCATGTGACCTTGCTCTGACCGCTTAGGACAGGCTCTTGGTATCAGATACTTCGACTCTGTCGGGATCCACTGGAGTCTGGCAATACTCCTGGGTCTGTGCCGTTTTGTGGCTGTTATGTGGGACTCGAGTGCAGTGGGCACTTGTCTGCTTTTCTTCCTTATCTTTTAATGTGTGTTATGTTGCTCTGAATGAGATGAAGGCAGCCCCCTCTCCCCAGGCGTTGCTGGATCTGATTAGTGCATTAACATAGATCCTCTTACCTGGCAGATTACAGTGCCTGTAATCGCTTCCTTCACACCTAAGCTCTTAAACCTCCTGCCTGCGAGCCCTGCCCTAACCATGCGCTTCCAGAAATCGTGGACAGAAGCCAGCCAACATGGAGGAGCTGACGGAGGTGGTCATGGCGGAGCCCGACCCCCTCCAGGGCAGCGTGCTCGTCCACAGCGGAGCCCCGCCCCCTCCAGGGCGCTCGTCCACAGCGGAGCCCCGCCCCCTCCAGGGCAGCGTGCTCGTCCACAGCGGAGCCCCGCCCCCTCCAGGGCAGCGTGCTCGTCCACAGCGGAGCCCCATCCCCTCCAGGGCAGCGTGCTCGTCCACAGCGGAGCCCCGCCCCCTCCAGGGCAGCGCGCTCGTCCACAGAGGAGCCCCATCCCCTCCAGGGCAGCGCGCTCGTCCACAGCACCAGCAAGGGGCCCGTCCGCCCCGTGCTGCCGGCACGCCGAGGGTAAGTGCTGGCGAGCTCACGTACCTCCCGTCCGCAGCCCGCCTTGTCCGGGTTCTCACCACCTCCAGAGACCTTGCGGTGCTGCCTGCCTCCCATGTGCCTGCCTGCGCGGAGGCCCTGCTTCCTGAGTGCCCGCGGTAGGGCCTGCAGGTCACCCCGGCCAGCCCCTCTGTGCACAGGGCCCTCTGCTGAGGCCGGAGGCCGTCTCCCTCTTGGGATGGGTTCTGTCCCTGCGGAGCTCTGCTGGCCTGGGATCCAGTTCCCTCAGGAAAGCCCAGGCTTTCGCCCACTGAGCCTTGAAGTTCTGGGGGAGGAGAGCTTTGGGTTTGTCATTTTTAGTCACAAGGAGCAGGCCCTACTTTGTAGACAACCAGAAAGTCTGTGTGTCACGTGACACATCGTGTGTGTCCCGGGAACTCTGCCAGCATGCCCCCGGGCGCTGAGCGCTGACGGCATCCCGGCCCAGAGCGCCGTGGACTGTCCTGTTCTGTACGCTTTGTCCTGCAGTGATGTCAGTGTTCCGGTCAGTCCGTCCAGAGCGTCTCCCGCTGCAAAGTGCCAGGGCCTGAGCATTTGGCCTGTGTTTTCAAGACAACACTCTTGAGTAAGCAGGTTTAGATTCCCAGAACGGTTTTATTTGTCAGTGAAGTTATTTATGTGAGTAAACGCTCAGTATTGCCACTAGGTTGCTTAGGATTAACTTCAGATGCACAGTTAATAAACATGTAGGTTCCTTGTAATACATTTATTTTTTAAAAAGCAGCAGCTGGAAAAAAAAAAAAAAAAAGCAGCAGCTGAAAATGAAAGGAAGGATAGGCCTCCTTGCCCACAGTTCCCCGAGCCAGAGCAGGCTCTGGGGTCTGGCACACGGGCGGGTGAGGGAAGACAAGCACTCAAGTTATTGCTGATAGAGCAGAAGTGTTGGAGAAAGAAGGTCTGCCCAGGAAGTCTTCAGAATCTGAAAACAGTAACTGGGTTTTGCTGAAGTGAGTCTTGCCCATTGAATAGTGAAGGAAAACCCCTCTCCTGGTGGGCCGTGGCAGGTGGGACCTTTCCGGCTGGAGTCCAGCCGTCCTCAGCTGAGGGAGGCCCTGCAGCGCCTACGCTCCGGGTGGCGGAGGGCCCTGCGCCCGTATCCGCCTCTCGCACTGCCCTTCGGGGCGTCCGGCATGGAGGCTGCCACCTGGGGTGCGCCGGGCCCCGGCCCCTGTGGAGCCACAGGCTATGCAGGGCGTCTGCGGGCGCCCTGGCGGCGCTCTGGGTTGCGGGCCAGGGCCGGGTGAGCCTGGAGGCCTTGCTTGCACTGCAGAGTGGGTTGTTCTCTGGTTTTTAAATAGAAGTGGAAACACTGTGTTTTCCGGTTTGGCAAGAGCCCAGCAGCAGGTCCTTCTCAGAAAGTAGCTCCTCCACGTCCGACGTGAACTTCAGCCACGCGGTCGGTACTGGATGGGCCGGGACTACCTGTCGGTGGAGGTGTGAGACCTGAACACGCAGCGCCGGCCCGTCGAGACCCACCAGGCGAGGCGCCCTTCCTGTGCTTCCACGAGGCCCACGAGCGCCTTCGCAGCGAGCTGTGTTCCGTCTGCAGCGGTGACGGCGTCTCCGACAGCGCCAAGTGCTGCTGGAGTGGCCCTGACCAGTGAGGCCTGCGTGGGGACCGGGCCTTCCAGGGCCAGGGCAGGCGCAGGCCCGGCTGCCCAGGGTGGACACGGGGTGTCTGGGCACGCTTCTCTCGTTGCTTGCAATTCCATCCCAGTCCGAACAGCAAGCATAGTGCTAGATTCACACTGGCTGTTTCCAAAATGCTTAGTGGATGATAATTTCTTATTTTCTATTATTTTCAAGAGGAGTGAAAGGAAGGAGGTGAGGAAGCTAGTGTGGGTGGGATGGCCTTTGCTTTGGGAACAAGCAGAGGACAAGACCCCAGAATGCTGCCATGTGGGGACGCCAGTGCGGTGGCTGGTGTGACGCTCCGCTCTGACGGGGCTACGGCCGTTTCGATGCTTCTGGTGGTCTGTGGGCACGTGCCTTAGAAGTGACGACCGCGCTGGTTCTGCCTAGAGGTCTGTGTTTAATAACATTTGAAACATCTCCTCTCGTGAGACGGCAGGAGATGTTGCCGCGGGTCTGTGATGGGATTGTGTGCCGGGTGGGGCTTGCATGCGTCTGAGCCGAGGACCTCCGGTGGTGGTGAGGGGCTGTTAGACATCCCGAGGTGCCCTGTGGCACAGGCCCCGGGAAATGCTGACCGTGACGCTGCCGTCCTTTGTGCATCTTTGTGGTTGAGAGTAAAGAGGGCGCGGCGTTGGCCTCGGGGCCTCAGCTGGACCCGGGAGCCGGGAGCCCGGGTTGGGGGGAGCCGTGACTCTGGACCCGCAGAGGTTGGCTCTTGAGACGGACACCCTCGGGATCCGTAGAAGGCACCCGTCTGCGTTAGACTGGCCCCAAGGGAGACGTGTGTGTGAGAGACCTTGGGCTGGGGTGGATCACGTCCCCTGAGATTTGTGACCACAAGCATGCCTATGTGTGTGTGTTGATGTGCGGAGCACGCCCAGCAGGCCTGGCCAGGCACGTGGGGAGTGGACGCATCACGTCTGCGTGCCCACTCTTCACAGGCTGACGTGCCCCGCGTGGTGTCCATGCCCGCGGAGGATGTGGCGCCCGGGGCAGAGACAGGACTTCTCCCTCAGGCCTCAGCACAGCCGCCTGGGCACCGACAGAGCCCTGTGGGGGCCCCGGGCCTGGGTGGGCCGCCCTTGTGGCGGACTTGGTGTCCCAGCGGCACACGGAGCTCGGGGTCCCCCCGGCTTCAGAAGGTGGAAAACACAGCTGCGGCCTGCAATGGGACCCAGGTTCAGAGCCCTCACAAAATGCTTTCTCAGCAGACCCGCTGAGGCCATGCAGGGTGCCCGGCCCCCGTGGAGGATTTGCCCTTCCCAGGGCGCCAGGGCCCAGGATTTCCCCGGGCTGAAACCCATGAAACCAGAGCTCACCGGCGCAGACGGCCAGGCACGCGTAGGAAAGGCAGTGTACACAGGCCATCGGAAACAATAGAACGTGGAGCCCTGAGAATCCAGCTACTGGAGTCCCGCGCAGCAGAGTGTACGCGGGGTGCAGGAAGGGGCCAGGCCGCGCTCATGGACATGCACGTGGCCCCCACACTGGGAGGGGACCCCAGCCGCGGCTCAAGACGGGAGCTGCGTCCTGAAAGCCCACTGTGGATTCAGCGCGCCCTGTGCAGCTGAAGAGATCTTGAATTCACTGAAGATGGGAAACATTCTAAGGAGAAAGTCAAGGTTTATACCTTTTTCAAAAACACATTAATATAATTAAAAGTGTAAATTCACTACTTTTTCCTTTTTGATTCCGTTGTATTTGCTTTTACTGATACAGCTGTGTATGAGGCTCAGTCAGACATTTTCACCGTGGGTGTCCCCTGGCCGTTACGATCTTTCGTGTCTGATGTCTGAAGGGGACCTGTGCAGCGGTGGGGTAGGCGGTGAGCCGCTTGTCTGGGCAGCGGGGCCGGGGTTCCTCGTGGCTTACAGGTTGTCGTCTTTCACGCGGCGCTGTCCTGATGGGCCCTACAACAGCTTCTTCCGGATGTTCAATAGGTCCACCCAGAGGGAAGAGACGCTGGAGGCCTCCAGGGAGAACAGCAGGCCCCAGGCCAGCCTGCAGCCTCACAGGGTGTGTGCGGGCAGGCAGTGGACGGGCAAGGTGAGCGTGGGCAGCCTGGACCAGCAGGAAGACTGCCCACGCAGGCACGCGGCCGAGAGTGTCACCGCCGTGGCCGCCACCAGCCAGCCACCAGTACACCTTCCAGGATGAGGTCAGCTACAGCGGCAGAGGGCCCCGCGTCTGCAGAATCGCGCCTGCTCGCTGTCGGAGCACAGGTGGCCGCCTCTCCTCAGAGAAGCAGGGACGCCCCCCTGCCTCAGCGCAGACTGCCTGGGGTTCCGAGCGGGGACCCCGGCTTCTGCTCCGGGGAGGGGAGCCCTGGGTGTCGCTGCTCAGGTGAGAAGCCAGCTGGAAGCGGAGTGACGGGCAGGCCTCGAGGGGCCGTGACTAATGTAGATGGCTTTATTTAGGTCTAAGCCTGCCTTCCAGATTAGAGGCCAGACATCCACACCCCAGAGAAGAGGCGTCAGTGCAAGCTCTCCTGCCAGCCCTCCTCCTCGGCCATAGCCAGGCCGCCGCCCGCCCGCCAGCCTCAGCAGCTCTGCGCACGGGGGCTCTCAGGCAGCTTCACTCCGCCGCCCCTGTGTCCACTGTCACCCCTCCTGGGGCAACCGCTTAATAAAAGCAACGCACTGTAAAGAGTGTTTTTAAGTCCAAAATAAGCATTGTCTTTTTATTTGCTTTCATTGCACATAACAATATTATGCAGAATTAAGACTAAAACTCTTTTATCCTTCACTGACAGAATGGTGGAACGTGTGTAGTGCTTGAGGCTCTCAGTGTATGTATCCCCAAAGTTCTGTAACCTTTGTTTCTGTAGAACTGGCACCCCTGACCCACCAGGTAAGGACTGGACAAAGCCTTAACAGAGAGAAAATCACAGGGAGTAGTAACAGAACCGCTGCTGAGAAACCAACTCGGGGTTTAGAGCACACGACAGATGCTCTGCAGTTGAAGACTTTTGTGCTTTTTCTAAAATTTGTTTAAAAGTACTAGGTGCAGGGTGGGGGGATAACATACTTTTTTAAAATGTTAAAATTATACCCTAGATTTCACACTTAAAGGCAGCGAAAATTAAACCGTTTTAATTTCTATCCCTTGATGGTTTGTTTTAACAGTAGGATCTTTGGTATCAGAAATCAAGATTTCCCCCCCCCCCCCCAAAAAACAGAGGTAACAGTAAGTCACTGGAGCTTCTCTGCGGAACCCCGCACTGGAGCCGGGGCCCCAGTCTTCGGGGGGCGGGCGGCCGGGCCCACGCGCTGCTCGTGGAGTCGCTGTGGTGGAGGGGCCCCATCAGCACACATTTCAGTTGCAAATTGAGAACCAAGCGTATTAGGCGGGTGCAAACACATCTGCGGGTTTTGCATTGTTGAAATTTACCGTTTGATACTGGAATACATCCTTAATGTGGTTATGTTATATATCATTTCTTGCTCTATGTTTTTTTGCTAATGACTGACCTGCTGTGTATTTTATATTTATTTGAGACTAGGGAGATGATGTTAGACAAAAAGCAAATTCATGCAATTTTCTTATTCAGGTTCAAAATGGGTCAGAAAGCAGCGGCGACAACTCGCAACATCTACAGCGCATTTGGCCCAGGAACGGCTGACGAACATACAGTGCAGTGGGGGTTCAAGAAGATTTGCACAGGAGACGAGAGCCTTGGAGGTGAGGGCGTAGTGGCCGGCCATCAGAAGTTGACAGTGAGCAATTGAGGACCATCATCCAGGCTGATCCTCTAAAACCACAGAAGCAGTTGCCACAGAATTCAGTGTTGACTATTCTACGGTCATTTGGCATTTGAAGAAAATTGAAAAGGTAAAACCTCACTAAGTGGGTGCCTCGTGAGGTGACTGAAAATTTTAAAAATGGTCGTTTTTAACTTCTCTTACTGTATGCAAAACTTATGAACCACTTCTCGGTTGGATTGTGACGTGTCATGAAAAGCAGATTTTATTCAACTGGCAATGACCAGCTCAGTGGCTTGACTGAGAAAAAGCTCCAAAGCACTTTCCAGTCACACTTGCACCAAAAAAAGCTCAGGTCACTGTTTGGTGTTCTGCTGCCCCTCTGATCCACGACAGCTTTCAGAATCCCAGTGAAACCATTATATCTGAGAAGTAGGCTCAGCGGATCAATGAACACCAAAAATTGCAACGCCAGTCAGCACCAGTCAACAGAAAGGGCGCAGTTCTCCACAACAACGCCCGACCACATGTTGCACAACCAATGCTTCAAAAGTTGAACGAATTGGGCTATGAAGTTTTACCTCATCCACCATATTCACCTGACCTCTCACCAACAGACCACCTCTTCAAGCAGCTCCACCACTTTTTGCAGGGAAAACATTTCCACAACCATCAGGAGGCAGAAGATACTTTCCAAGAGTTCATCAAATCCCAAAGCACAGATTTTTATTCTGTAGAAATTAATTATAACGATTTATTGCTCCTTGGAAGAAAAACTATGACCAGCCTAGATCGCATATTCAAAAGCAGAGATGTTACTTTGCCAACAAAAGTCTGTCTAGTCAAAGCTACGGTTTTTCCAGTAGTCATGTGTGGATATGAGAGTTGGACTATAAAGAAAGCTGAGCACTGAAGAATTGATGCTTTTGAACTGTGGTGTTGGAGAAGACTCTTGAGAGTCCTTTGGACTGCAAGGAGATCCAACCAGTCCATCCTAAAGGAGATCAGTCCTGGGTGTTCATTGGAAGGACTGATGCTCAAGCTGAAACTCCAGTACTTTGGCCACCTGATGCAAAGAACTGACTCATTGGAAAAGACCCTGATGCTGGGAGGGATTGGGGGCAGGAGGAGAAGAGGATGACAGGATGAGATGGTTGGATGGCATCACCGACTCGATGGACATGAGTTTGAGCAAGCTCCAGGAGTTGGTGATGGAGAGGGAGGCCTGGCGTGCTGCAGTCCATGGGGTCGCTAAGAGTCAGACAAGACTGAGTGACTGAACTGACTGATGATGATTTAAAATTCACGGTCTGAAATCAGTTATTTTTGCACCAACCTAATACACTTACTTTAAAGGTAATTCTTGTACCCTGTGTTGGTTGTGATGCAGTTCACAAATCTGAGACATTGAACAGTTGTCTAAGTATCAGGTCAGCCCTGGTCCTCAAGCAGTTCTGGAAAGAGGGGGTACATTTTGTTTAGCTGTTTTAATAAATTTCAGATGTTTAACTAGATTCGTACTGTGTAATTGGACAGTTTTTTCCATGTTTCCTTCAAGACATACTTCCCACTGAACAAGAAAGCAGCCTTCTGCCTCTCAGAGGGCCTTGTGCTGGGGTGTGTGTGGCCAGGCAGGGGTCCCCGTCTTGGGCTGACAGCCCTCAGTCTCCCTTGAGGAGTGTGTAATCTAAGGGACGCACAGGAATTTCTCCCGTGTTCTTTGCCAGTTGACACTCTGACTCCATTTAAGCCTTTTCTCCTCCTGATGATGTAAAACTCCTGTGGTTCACTGGACACAGGTTCACGTGTTTATTTTTGGCTGCAGCGCGATAGTTGCTGTGTGCGAGCTTTCTCTACACGTGTCGAGCGCGGGCTCAGTAGTTGTGGCCCGCAGGCTTCATTGCTCCACAGCACGTAGGGTCTTCCCAGACCAGGGATCGATCCCATGTCCCCTGTGTTGGCAGGCACATTCTTAACCACTGGACTGGTAGGAAAGTTCACATTCTCAATAGTCAGGTTCCCATGTTATCACCGACTTGAATTAATGACTTTTGCAGTAAATGAAGCAGCACTGTGGGCGCAGGAGTAGGTTATTCAGAGGGTCCCCCCCCAACCATGTTCCCACGCCCTCTCCTGGTTACACCCAGTCCGTGGGGACAGCCAGGCTCATTCGTATCTGGCAGATTCATCCCAAGTTTCTGGCACAAGTGAGCAGACGTGCATACTCTGGCTCTTTTCTGCATGTTGTTCAGGCGCTCAGTCATGTCCGACGCTTTGCAACCCCATGAAACTGCAGCACGCCAGCCTTCACTGTCCTTTACTGTCTCCCAGAGTTTGTCCACATTCATTTCCGTGGGGTCAGTGATGCTATCTAACCATCTCATCCCCTGCCACCCTCATTTTGCCTTCAGTCTTTCCCAGCGTCAGTCTCTTCCAACTAGTCAACTCTTCACATCAGGTGGCCAAAGTATTGGAGCTTCAGTATCAGTCCTTCCAGTGAATATTCAGGGTTGATTTCCTTTAGGATGGACTGGTTGGATCTCCTCACCATAGAGGGGACTTTCATGAGTCTTCCCCATCAGTTCTTCTGCATGAACAATACTAAACCGTTTCACTTGCACACACTTTGTCACTCAGCCTGCAGTTAGGGCTCCGCAGACTCAGCCCTTCCCCGAGACAGCTCAGCGGGGGACGGGCCGGCCACACGGCTGCCTGAGCTCTCCGGGCAGTCCTGCTCACCAGCTGGGGGTGGGGCTAAAGGCCGGGCCTCAGAAAGCCTAGCCACTGCTTACAGAACTGGGGACACTGCGATGCTTTCCCACTGCTTATTTTATGCTGGAAACCACATGGTACTGGTTCAGGGACCCTGTCATGTTCTCCCAAGTCATCATCTTCGTGCACACGCATTGTCAAGTGCTAAACCAGAAGTGGCCCAGACACATGTCGCTGAAGGTGCTGCCCGCTTCCCACCAGGGTGGGCCTGCCTGCCTCCTCCCCCATCGTGACCCCACAGTCTGCAGGTGCGGCTGCCGAGTCTAGTTAGGAGACAGCCAAGCACAGGCTTGAACATCCTCTGGAGGTTGTGTGAACGTGCTATTCAGTCAATAAAATGGATGACAGTGTGATCTGCGCTAACAGGAGGGGGTATGGAAGCTGTCACCGTGCTGTCCTCTTGGCCAAAAAAGTGAAAATGCTCACACACACAGTCCCACACCTTACTGGATCAGACATCCACTGTAACATCAATGAGGGGAGAGAAGCTTCAGGGAGTCTGGCAGCCCAGCTGTGCCCACGACAGCATCAGTCAGCAGGCAGCTGGGAGAAAGGATACGCAACCTGGGGGTAGGAACAGAAAAATAATCCTGCCGGAAAACAAGAGAACCAAGGATTTAAAAAACGAAACCAAAAGGAAGTTAGTGCAATCAGTCCTGAATTAAAACTGGTGTTCCAGAGAATAAAGGGAGGATACCCTCAAGAACTTACAACTCCCCAGCCCTGGGCACGTCCTTGCGGTCTGGCT